AACGGTACCACTCCCTATTTTAGGAAATAATTCTGGACCGAGTTATAGGTCCCGGAAAATTGAAAAACCATAGGGGGGAGTAAGCTCGATTTTGGGGTGAAAAATTCGAATATGCAAATAATAGCTCATTCGAAAGAGCTCCTCGAGCTGAGTCGAATGACACCAAAATCAACAAAATCTGACTTGATTGGACCGAGATATAGGCCCCTAAATATTGAAGATCCAAAGGGGCGATTTTTGGAATAAAAAATTTTTTATACAAATAATAACTCATTCGAAAGAGCTCGACGAGTTGAGTCAAATGACACCAAAATCACCGTGATTGAACAAAATTAGACAAAGTTATGATACAAAAAAACCTAAACCTATGGGGCGTCGGCGAGGCGCTTGTGCAAACCCCCGCGCTTCGCGCGGGGGTTTGCGGCACGCGCCTCGCGGGGAGTCTACGGGCGGTGGGTCTGGGCTCGTAACATAGACCTAGTCCCATCTCCCTTGCTCTGGATGTACTTGGGGCTCCAGTAGCATCAAAAACCTCCACGGGCGCCATAGGTAAGGAGCTTAAACAAACGAGCATAACTTTGTCAAATCAAGTCAGATTTCGTTGATTTTGGTGTCATTCGACTCAGATCGAGGAGCTCTTTCGAATGAGCTATTATTTGCATATTCGAATTTTTCACCCCAAAATCGAGCTTACTCCCCCCTATAGTTTTTCATTTTTCCGGGACCTATAACTCGGTCCAGAATTATTTCCTAAAATAGGGAGTGGTACCGTTCGACTCAGCTCGTCGAGACGAATCGAATGACATATATCACGTCTCGAACTTTTACCACCGGTACACTACACTACAGCCAAAATTGTTGAACAAAACATAAAAATAAACTTGGATCAAAACATGGAGAAAATAAACTTGAAAATAAACATTAGAAAACAAACTTGGGCAAACAAACAAAACTTGAACAACAAAACATAAACATTAACTGAGAAAACAAACTTGAAAACAACCAACATTAAATAAAACTTGAAAATAAACAAAATAAACTTTGTTTAAAACTTAGTTGAGAAATAAACAAAAACATTCAGAACAATTAAAACATAAGGGGGAGTTGTTTGTTTGTTCGTTTGTGTTTTTGCGTAATATTTTAATAGTAGAATTAATAGGCAAAAACAAGTTTATTTCTTTAAATCTTTTATGTTTGTGTTTTACCATTTTTGTTTCTATGCTTATTTTATTAAAAAATGTTTTTTACAATGTTTTTGATATTAATAAATGTGCATTAAATAATTAAAAGCAAAACTACTTCCACACAATGTTTTTGTCCAAAAAGAGTTAAAGAAAAATTAAATAAAATGTCTATAGTATTGAAGAAGATTCTAAATAAATTTTCTAAAATATTGATACACTTAAAAATTATTTTTAATATTTCAACCTTTGTAAAATCGACGAAAATAATAAAAAAAAATAAAAATGTGTTTAAACATAAAGCCCATTCCCATACGACTCATCACTAAACATTTATGTTTTTGTTATATTTGTATGTTGTGATTGACCCTTTTTTTTGCTGTGTTGTCGATTTAACATTTATTTTAAAAAGAATTAAATATATTTGTAAATGAAAAAAGTGAAAAGAGAAAAAATAAAAAATACAATGATTCTCGATTGGATTTAAATAAATAAATTGTAAAAATATTCGAGAAAAAGAAAATGATATCAAAATAGAAAAAATTTAAATTATTAAAATAATTAAAAATAAACTAAAACTAGTAAAATAAATAAACTTAAAATGTGAAGCAAAATTAAAAACGATAGAAGTAAACTTGAAACAAACAATAAACAAACTTAAAAACACAAAAAAATAAACTTGAAAAAATAAAAATAAAATAAATTTAACAAAACATGTTTTCAAGAATGCAAATTTGAAAAATTTGTGAAAACACAAACTTAAAAAGTTTTAAAACACAAACATGAAAGACAAACATGTTTTCTCAAACTTAAAAACAATTAAAACAAAACATGAGAGACAAACATATTTTTCTCAAACTTAATAAGTTTTAAAACACAAACATGAGAGACAAACATGTTTATCTCAACATATTTGCTTTCATGTTTTTGTATTAATTTATTTGTTTTATTGTTTCAAGTTTTAACTAATGTTTTTAATAATGTTTCCCTAAAGTATTAGTCTAATCCAAACAACACATTTAATACTAATAAACAAAACACGAAGATTTTAGCCTAGAAAATGCCCAGATGCTCAACATATGTGTTAGTTATTTAAAGAAATGAGGAAGAAAATGAGGAAATGTATAATGGCTGTTGGCCAAAAAATAATAATAAAAATAAATAGAAAAAATCATTTTTAGTATTTTCAATGGAAAAGCATGTTTTTATTAAATATGTATTTTTTATTTAAAGGAAGAAATGAGGAAATGATTCAAAAACAAGTGCTTTCTAGCTTATATTGGCCAGATTGATCGTTGCATGAAGAAAAAAAAATTTAAAAAATAATTGGAGGAGACGTAAAAAATGTGTGTATTTTAGCAGTGTTTGAGATAAAATAAGAATATCGTATTTGAAAAGTTCAAAGACTTTGAAATCGAAAGTCGACAGACATTCGTTATCTCTCGTCTACCTCTAATAATAAGCGGAACGGGCCAGGTGAGTGCCGCCAACTGAGAGCGGGCAACTGTGTTGTGTAGTGGTATCGCTATAGTATTAAACCAGTGAAACGTCAGTCTAGTTGAATCATAATAGCGCGGCTAGTCCCTGATTCCCTTCATCTGTTCTAAGTCCTTTCTACATTCGCCTATAATGTTTATTTCTACACCGGATAAATTGTTATTCTTGTGCACGTCAACATCAGCTAAATCTCGGACACCTCCGGTTGTAACAAACTGAGAGCCGAGCCAACAGAGCCCCTTATAAAAGGGGGCCAACTGAGTGTCAGGACTTTTAATAAAATATTAAGATTACTTTTACTTTTCCGGGTCGACGGCCGCTGGGTTCTGCACAAGTTACTTAAATCTGTTCCTTTTTACTAATTCTCAACTTTAAACGAAGATCTATCACCTCGTAGCGACACAAAACAGCCATTTCAATGAAAGTTCAATTCCTTGAAATTTTGTTTAGAATCATCGACTTAAAGAAATTTTGTATCATTCGACTCATCTCGACGTGCTCTTTCGAATGAGCCACAAAGTAAGCGCATTTTTTTCACCACAAAATGAGCTTACTCCCCCTTCTCTTTTTCAATCTTCAGGGGTCTGTAACTCGCCCTCTGAGAGTTGGACAGAGCTTACCGAGCTCCTTCGAATGACACCTCAATCGACCAAGTCATTCTAGCCAAAAAACACCCTATATGTCACAATACCCAAAATTAAGACCAAGACTTCAATATAAGGCGGAAACAAAAAAAAATCTTAATTTAACTCGGCTGCCATTTTAGACGTTCCTTAGATCGTAAAAAGTAGTGATGTTCGGGTATCCCGACTCCCGACACCCGACTCGGGAAATTTCCCGAGTTTTTGGCCTCCCGATCCCGACTTCCGATGTCAATTCCCGACTAAGTCGGGAAATTTTTACACCCCTAAGAATGGCTTTTTCTGGTAAAATTTTATTTTTAAAATCAAAAAAAAATTAAAAAAGGGAAAGGGAAAATAAAAAAAGAAAAAGGAAAAGGGGAAAAACATCTAAACATTTATTCCAAACCTCTGTTGGTGAGTGATGGTTAAGTGGTTAGGTTGATGACTTCATTCACTGTGATATTTTATGGGATTGGTTCAAATCCGGGGTTGGGAAATGTGAGTTAAATAATTTTTCCTTCCAAAAATAAATGTTTTTAACATTGATTTTAATTTTAAAATTGTTAATTTATTTTTTTAATACTAGTAAACTTGAGAAAACTGGAAAAATTAATTTAGTCATGAATTTTCGAAAATTTTCGCATGCGGCGCAGAAAATGAAAGAAATATGGCCCCTCAGCATGCCAAACATAAAAAAATTTCGCCTGCGGCGCAGACAAATGATGTGAGATTAAGAGGTCTTTAAAATTTGATTAGCCAGTCTCAGCAATACCCTCCTCTTAAAAGACCCTTCCATTATATTCAATGCTCCTTAATCACTTTCTAATAGCTCTATATCCTTCCATGGATGCAATATTTTAATACCAGATGCGACGAGGCGATAATTTTGGGAATTTAGAATGCTTTTTTTGCCAAGCGGCCAAAATGGATGAAATCTGGCTTCTTGACCTCCATAATTATCAAGATTTCTGCCTGCGGCGTTGAAAATTAATTAAGAGATGTTGAAAATTAATTAAGGGAATAGAGAAAGAGAGCGGCGCAAAAAATGGAACAATTCTGGCTTTCTGACCTTCAAAAATTCTTAAAATTCACGCCTGCGAAGAAAAAATCAGAATTTTAGGCGCCGAAGGCGCCTAAAATTTTTTAAATTTTTTTATCGAAAATTCCCGACTCCTGAGGTCATTTCCCGACCCGACTCCCGTTTCCCGAGTTTTTTCTTCTCCCGAACATCACTAGTAAAAAGTAAGAAAAACAAAAAAACAACCTACAAAAATATTCTAGAATTTTTTCAGGGATTTTTTTTTGAAAAATACGGAAAAACCGGAGTCCGGTCTGGAATCCGGATAATTTCTGCCGGACTCCGGAAATTATTTCTACCGGATTAAAACCGGACCGAATTTTTTTGATGAATTTAATTATGCTGAAGACAAAAAAATTTTTGGCTACTAAGTTTTTATGTTATAGTTTTAGGTTTTTGAATAAATCTTTCATAGGCATTTGTTGTAATTATTTTAAGTATTGACCATATATGTAAGTTCCCGCCATATAAGTTCCTAAACCATACAAGTTCCCGCTTTTTTGGCATTCTCTTTTCAAAAATTTAAAAATGACATTTTATCCCATTAATAATTTTTTAAATTTAAAAATGGTAAACCAAAAATTGGTCACAAAAACAATTGAGTGGGTTCTTTGGTAATAGTTAAGTTTGTGTTTCCCCTTCTTCTTTAAACAAGGACATCACAGATGGATGCCCCCAATTGGCAGCCAAGTCAATTGGAGTTTTTCCAGCAAAATTCGATTCTTCAGGAATAGCACCACTCATCAAAAGAAGCTTACAAACATCAATATTGCCTGCCTGAGCACTATACATAAGTGCAGTCCAACCATTTTTGTTTTTGTAGTTTACAGATGCTTTATTGTTGAGGATGTATTCCTAGAAAAGTAAATCATTTGAGGGATATTTTAATATTGAATAACCTCAACTAGAGAATAATTGCCTATCGAGGCGGCCATAAAAATATCCATTTTGTGATTGTTCAAATTGGGAGGGTTAAAAGGCATTCCTTTAAAATTATTTAAAAATGAATGGTCAATTTTATTATTTTTGTTAAAGAAATGTGACATTTTTAGATTATGTAGCTGAAAAATAAATATAAAATTTAATAAAAAATATGAGTCCACCCATGAATATTAACACCCAAAATATCGCCAAACTATCGTTTGTTCAAAATATAGAATAATATGATCATCACAGGGGAGCCAATTACATGGAAATAAAATCGAAAAATATGTGTATAAAATGGCACACAGACATATCGGGATATATGTTAACGTACTGATTTCGGAACCTACGGTCACTGGGTCTTGGATAGTATATTGTCCTATTGAAGAATAGAGTTTTTATATTTTAGAACAAATGTAAACACACAAGAAATTATTTTTGTCACAGCAATCCCAATATGTCCGCACACCAATAAAATATGGATATAAATCCCGAAATCTGGATCAAAAAATAGCGAAAAGATTTAAAAAATTTAAAGTTTCTGTTAAAATGTTTGTGAAAATAAATTTTTGCGAAAAATTTTTGACCAAAAATTTCCAACATTTTGAAAATTTTCGCCAATTTTTAATAAAATTTACCAAAAAAGGACCAAATATGGACCAAAATATGCAAAAAAGGAGAAATATTGATATAAAATATGGATATAAATGCTAAATATGGAAAATATGGATTTTAAAGATCATCTACTAGAAACCCTAAAACAAGCCAAAAACATGTTTTTCGTACATTTCATAGTCAAAGGAATTCAGGAAAAGATATGGATTTTCATCAAAGATGGGTCGGAACAGTCAGAGGTGTCGGAACTCGGAAGGGTAATTCTTGCGTTCGTACCCCCCCCCCCTTTTTTCCTTCCTCAGTGTTAAAAATGGTCAGTCAGTCTTAGGATAAAGAACTCGTCGAGCTGTGTCGAATGACAACAAAATTAACCCCCGGTCTTAACTTTGGGCCGAGATACAGACAAAAACAATGCAAAGCAAAGGGTTTTGCAATAGCCTCACACCGATGACAATAGAATTACTTTTTGGCATAACTTTGTCAAATCTTGTTCAATTACGCTGATTTTGATGTCATTCGAATCAGCTCGACGAATTCTATATAACCTAAGACTGAATGACTATTTTTTAACAGTAAGGAAGGAAAAAAGAGGGGAGGGGGGGGGGTACGAACGCAAGAATTACCCTCGGAAGAGTTGGAAATCGGAAAGTCGGAAATCAAAATTTTTTCTCGGAAATAGGAATTCCGACCCACCTCTAATTTCAATTTAATTACACACCCTAATCATCAGATCTAGCCGAACGTGGTATCCTTCGACCAAGCTCGAAGAGATCTTTCGAATGTTACATATATAAAAAATTCGTGAGGGCTAACTCAAGGAAACAACTCAAGGAAAAGACAAATCAAGGAATGACCAACTCAAGGAATGACCAATTCATGGAATATTTTAAAAATCGAAATTTCTTGAAAAATCTGAATATTTTTAAAAAATAAGAATTTAAAAACAAATTAGAACACCTTTAAAAAACAGAATTAAAAAAAAATTGTGAGAAATTCGAATTTCTCAGAATATTCTGATTTTTAAAATATTCCTTGAGTTGGCCATTCCTTGAGATAGCCCCCACCCTAAAAAATTATATAACAAAAAAAAGTTCAAAATGATCAGGCATTGGGAAAAAAGAGGGGTGACATTACCGGGGAGGTTTTAAGACGATTCAGTGATGAAAAAAGTATTGAACATTAAAACAAACTTTATAAAATTTAAGAAACAATTATTTATGAAATGGCTGGATAGATTTTGTTAGTATATATTGGAGGAGTTTTAGAGGAGGAGTTACCCTATTCAATTAAAAATTCAAATTAAAAAATGAGTTACAATTACAAGGAAATGGCGATCGGCAAAGTGCTAAAATAAGAAGCATTTCGGAACGCATAAACAAATGATTGAAAAAGAGTCGGGGAGTTGATGCGTTTTGAAAATTTTTCCCTTCAAAGATTGCTGATTTTATTCCCCCAAAATAATCCTTTTTCTTTTTTTTCTCATACGTTTTGTATTCAAATAATGGCTAGAAGCAAATCTGCCTTGGAAATCACCCCAAACAAGTTCAATTCCTATCGACTTACTTCTTACCTTATATTACCTATATCAGGGACGGGACGTCTCATTTGAACGAAAAAGTCGTTGAAACCCCCAAAAACTAGAAAACCTCTGCATACCCCTAACCTATCAAGATATCCCAAAAATAAAAAAATAACAAAGAACACCGTGTGCTGTCAATTGAGCATCTTTCTGACCTTTATTCTGTCCAAATTCATCCTCATTTTCTTCCTCTTCCTCCTCACCAACCCCATCCCCGGTTTGTTCTCCAATATTTTTTTCCAAAGAAGACAAATTTTTATTTAATCCCAATTTTGTCAAAATATATTGAGGCAAATCTGGAACTCGAGCAGAGCCAGAACCTAATTGTTCACGTACTGCAACTTCTGCATCTCCAAGTAATTGATAGAATTCGTCTGGATTAAATTGCTATAAAAATTTATTTTAAATTAAAAAAATTTTTTTCCAGGTCGTTTCATAAAAAAGTTCGTTCTACAAAAATGGGTATAGAATTTTTTTCAGATCTTCAAAAGTTTTTAAATTTTGCGTATTTATTCATTCGAGTGTTTCCTAATAGACCCCAGAATTTGAGAATTTTTGGTTCAGTATTCAGGGAGTTCTAATCTCCTAAAAAGTTGTTGTCGAAAACTATGTTACACATCCTCCAAAAGAATGTTTTTGCTAACTTTGCGTAAAATCATCCTATCTTGAAAACGGTTTTGAATACGAAGAATAAGGTCTGTAACTCGTGCCTAACACGGAATTCGACATTTCTGAAAATAGACATTCCCGTTTATGAAAAATTCGGCACTTAGGCCCCTCTGATAGTGATTTTTAAAAGCTTTCGACTGATATATTACAATAGATATTACAATTACATGTGCTCGAGAGGGCTCGAACCCCGATGCTTTTCAGATTTTCGACCACAACTCCTTGAATACTGACAAGGGAACATTCCGAACTGTGACCAAAAATTTTTTTATAAAAATTATACCATCGTGTAGAGCATGGTCGATAGCCTAACCCTATATATTTCTTTTTTGGCCCTGACCCCCATTTCGAAAAGTTAAAGGGCTTCAAAGTTTCCGACTTTTGGAGCGGTTGAGTCGCCCTCACTTTTCTTATTATTTGTCTTCCTAAAGGGAAAAGTGAGACTCCTTTTCTCCATTTTTCCTTTCCTTTTCTTTTCAGATATTAGTTAAAGAAAGAGAAAAGGAGGAGAGAAAAGAAAAGGAAAAGAGGTTCTCAAATTGAGGTTCTGAAATTGAGGAAAAGAGGTTCTCAAAAGAGGTTCTCAAACAAAAATTCTCAAATTCTGGGGTCTGTTAGGAAACACTCGAAAGAATAAATACGCAAAATTTCAAATATTTTGAAAAACCACAAAAAAGTATACAACCATTTTTGTAAAAAGAACTTTTGGCCCTATCCCAAAATAAGGGCGGAATCGTTTTTTTTTCATTAACTAAAGCAAGGAAAAATTAAAAGGAAAAATGGAGACGAACGGACTCGGGTCAGACCAAATACGGACGTGTGTCCGAGTCCGTCCGTGCCTTGTCTGACCCGAGTCCGTTCGTCTCCATTTTTCCTTTCAATTTTTTCCCATTTTTCCTTTCCTTTCAGGTAATGAAAAATAAACGATTCCGCCCTTATTTTGGGATAGGGTCGAACTTTTTATGAAACGACCTAGTAATTTAAAAGGTTAAAGGGTTCGAGAAAAAATTTTTGAAATATTTTCGAAAAAATTCCAAGAAAAACTATTCAAAAAAACTTTACATCTCCTCAATTTTAATGTTACTCTCATGACTTTTTGGTCAAAAAAATAATCAGAAAAAAATTTCTTTTTCCCTCAAAAAAATAAAAACAAACCAAGCATTCCAAAAGTCTAGCAGTTCTAGAAACAATCATCAACATTTGTTTGACTAGACGAAATAAATATTTATAAGATTCTGGCCCGACTTTCATTTCAGCCTTAAAGTAATGATTTACCGGTTTGTTACTCGCAACTCATTCCTAGAACCGCCTTAAGGCTGTGTGAATATGGCTAATGCGATCAAATAAGTGAGCTATTTGCTTTTTGAGAATGGCCGTTTGTGCTATACTTTGGATCGCTCTGGGAACTTCCGTTACTTAGCGCAAAGTTTAGAACGCCATTCTTGTTCACGTGATTTCAGGATGGACTTGGCCTTACATTATTAAAATAAATTCATTCTTGTAAATGTTTCAGGCATTTAGTAGAGCTCATCGAATTGGCCAGCAGCGTAAAGTAATGATTTACCGGTTTGTTACTCGCAACTCTGTTGAGGAACGTATAACATCCGTTGCAAAAAAGAAAATGATGGTTTGAATTTTTTAATTTTTTAAAATTTATAAAATAATCTTTAGCTCACCCACCTTGTTGTTCGTGCTGGAATAGGTCAAAAAGGCCCTTCAATGTCAAAAACTGAGTTGGATGATGTTCTTCGTTGGGGAACTGAAGAATTATTTAAAGATGAAGAAGCACAACAAGGTGATGGAGCAGGCAAATCAACAGAGCAAAATATTGTTTGGGATGATGATGCTGTCGATAAACTTCTTGAACGAGCAGAAGATGAAACAAAAGAGTCTGCTGCAGCGGCACCAGATGAACCCGAAAGAAAAGATTGGGCAAACGATTATTTGAGTTCGTTCAAAGTAGCAACATATATTACAAAGGAAGATGCGCCTATAGAAGAAGACGAAACGGAAGTAATTAAAGAAGCATTACAAGAAGCTGATCCAGACTATTGGGAGAAGTTATTAAGGCATCACTTTGAGCAAGAACAGGAACTTGAAAGGGCTCATCTTGGAAAAGGAAAAAGAGTTCGCAAACAAGTTAATTATGCAACAGAAGCAATACAACAGGAATGGCAGCCAGGGTCAGCTGGAACGCCTGCGGGAGGAGATCAAGACTATTCCGACTCATTTTCTGGTGTTTCTGACCATGACGGTTCTGGAAGTGGAGAAGACGATTTCGATTCTGTTAGAGAAGAGCGTCGACGGAAACGTGAACGTGATGGTGAAAAATTACCTCCTTTATTGGCACGTGTAAATGGGCAATTGGAAGTTCTTGGCATCAACCCAAGACAACGAAGAGCTTTCTTTAATGCAGTAATGCGATGGGGAATGCCGCCTCATGATGCCTATCAATCACAGTGGCTAGTTCGTGATCTCAAAGGCAAATCTGAAAGGGCCTTTAAAGCTTATACTTCTTTGTTTATGCGGCATCTTTGTGAGCCTGGAGCTGATTCTCAGGTGAAAAATTTTAACACTTTGAAAATTTATTTAACAATAAGGGGAGATTTTTCTGCCTATTCCCCACAAACTATCAAATTAAAATATTTTTTGGGGTGCTTAGTTAATTTTTGAAAATAGTCAACAGAAATTAAAGAATAATTGTTCAGTCACTGATTGTTTTTGGACGAAATGTCTAAACTAGAGACCGGCAAAATCGAACTTCCGGGATCCCGGGTCGGGATTTTTTCCCGTCGGGATCCCGTCCCGCGCCGACCTCTAGTTTAAACCATTTTTGACCATGAAATTTCATAATATTTTTGTTTTAAGGAGTGTTTTAATGATGGCGTCCCACGTGAAGGTTTGAATCGTGTGCAAGTTCTAACTCGAATTGGAATCATGTCACTAATACGCAAAAAGGTTCAGGAATTTGAAGCTGTTAATGGTGAATGGTCTATACCTGAGGTTTTTTGAATTTTCAAAAGTTTCTAAAAAATATTTTTAAGGTGCAAACCCAAATGTTGGCTGCTGCTGAGGCTGCAAATAAAGAACGGGAAAAAGATAAAGATCATTTGAATGTACAACGCAATGAGAAAGAATTAAGTGTGCATAGTGATGCTAGTCGAGATTTGACTCCAGCTATAGTATTTTTAAAAAATATTTTTAAAATAAATAAAACAATTAAGGATGATCTTAAAAAGACTGCCGAACCTCAAGAAGTTGAAATGATTGATGCAGCAGCTGAACTTACTGGAGGAGGTACTCAAACTACAGCAAAAGATTCTTCACCTAAGGAAGCTGATGGTGATAAAGAGGAGGAAAAGATTGATGAAGAGGTTTTCTTTAATTGTTTAAAAATTTGTCTTATCTTTTGAAATTTTAAAAAATTCCTCAAAACAAAATCTTTTCCATTTATTCAACTATTCTCTTTACAGACCGAGCAGAAATCCAGAGAACCACGTCCAAAAATTATGTTTAATATTGCTGATGGTGGTTTTACTGAACTCCACACTCTCTGGCTTAATGAAGAAAATGTTGCTGTTCCTGGAAAAGAATATGAGATTTGGAATCGACGACATGATTATTGGTTACTTTGTGGGATTGTTATGTAAGGACATATTTTTTTTCTAAAAATTAATTTTTTAATTAGGCATGGCTATGGTCGTTACCAAGACATTCAAAACGACAATCGATTTTCAATAATTAATAAACCCTTTAAATCAGAACAAAGCAAAGAAGGAAATTTTGCCGAATATAAAAACAAGTTTTTGCAAAGACGTTATAAGGTTTTGAAAGTTTTCTTTTCTAAATTAATTTTTTGGAAAATTTAAAAACAAAGAAAGTTAGCGAAAATTTTTGGCACTTTCCACTTATATGCCCTTTTTTCTCCGTAGTCGGAACAGGCCATGTATGGTGTCATTCAAAAGAGCTCGGACAATTATGGGCGAGGTTAGTCAAGTACCTAGGGACTATGATATGGTCGATTGAAAATTGAAAAACCATGGGGGTAGAGTAACGTTATTTGTTTTTTGTATTATAACTTCGTCCAAATTTGTTCAATTACGGTGATTTTGGTGTCATTGGACTTAGCTGTCGAGCTCAATAATGGGCTTTCATTTGCATCTTCGAACTTTGTCTGTTTCGACCATGGAGAAAAAGGGCAAATTTATCAATTTTTTGGAAAATTTAAAAACTTAAAAAATTTTTTTAATTAAATATTTTTCAGTTAGTCGAACAGGCTTTAATAATAGAGGAACAATTACGTCGTGCAGCATATTTAAAAATAACCCAAAAAACTGAAGAACAACATATTCAAAAGGATGCAGCAGAAAAGGGAATAGCTATTGGAAAGGCTGTTTCTGATAGTATTGGTAAATTTTAATTTTTTTTTGAATTTTTAGAAATTCTTTTAATCTTTAAAACTTTATTGAATTATTCTAGGCCATCTAAATGAAAGGTTTGACGATCTTGAATGCTTGGCTACTGCACAAGATATATTATGGCGTGATGATTATAAGGGTGACAAAAATTCTTATATAGTTCTTCATAAAATGCTTGCTCAACTTGAAGATTTGCTGAATGATATGAAAAATGGTAAGGAATTTTTGTTATTTTTAGGGGTATTCTCTTATAAATAAATATATTCTTTAAAAATAATTTTGAGTTTTTTTTAAAGATGTTTCTCGTCTGCCAATGACGCTTGCACGACTTAGACCAGTAACTCAACGACTAGGCATGACAGAGAGAACGTTAGTTTTATTTGAGAAAATTTTTTTAATTGAATTTTATAAAATCTAAAAATCCCCATTTAGAATCCTCAACCGATTGACAACAAAGGATTCTGTTGCCTCTGCTTGTCAGAGCCCACTTCCTCCTCCTGGCCCATTTATGACACCAATTGCACAAGCAAGATTTAAAGGAATGGAACCCAAGTTTGCTGTGATGGTCGGTAAAGAAGAAAATGAGTAAGGAAGAAAATGAGAAGAAGAGGAGGAGGGAGGAAAAGGTGTAAAAATGGAGGGGAAAAAATAGAAAAAATTTAATTTTACTTTTTGATCAATTTCTTTTATAAGGTGTTTCGAAACAAAAGAAATCTTCGGAGATCGAAAAAATTTCACAGATATCAAAATCGATAAAATTTTTGAAAATCATAAAAAATTAGTGAAAAATAACGTTGAAAATCGAAAAATAGGTAAACACCGTATTTCCTCTAATTGAGCGACATGCCGCTCTATTTTTCAAACCCCTGTTAAAGTGCCGACGTGTACCGTTTACGTATATCGGGAGACTGACCATTTTGAAATGAAAAAGAATGAAAGGAAAATGAGGGGAGATAACGGAAAAGTACCCTTTTTATTATTGTTTAGCTGAACTATGTTTGCACTTTGTCCATGAACCCCACAGAATCTTGACCTGCACTCCTCAACAACCCCCGATCCTGAACACTCCCTTCCCGAATGTTTGGGAAGTACACACATCTATCTTGCTAAAATTATTTTCGCAATCATATTTTCAAACAAATTTTTTCGATCTATTTTTTGACAAAACCATGCGCGATGGCACAGCCCTATTTTTTCTTATGTTCCTCCTCATTTTTTCAATTAATGAAAAAGAATGAAAGGAAAATGAAGGGAGACAGAATCTTGACCAGTGCTTCGAAATTTCAAATTTGCTCGTACTCGTACTTCGTACCACCCCTTTTTTTGGCCTCGTACTCGTACCTCGTACCACCCCCATTTTTTTGCTAGTACTCGTACTCGTACCTCGTACCACCCCTATTTTTGCCCTCGTACCTCGTACTCGTACCTCGTACTTACTCGTACTTGAGAAAAAAAAATCGAAAATTTTTATGATTTTTTTGAGTCCAGAACATTTAGTTTTAAATTTTAAGCGTTGTATGTGATAATTTTTGAATCTTGGAAGGCTTTGAAGCTATAAATCCTCCAATTTCAAACATTTTCTGCGCCGCAGGCGAAATTTTTGAGTTTTTTGGAGTGCAAGGAGAGATATTTCCTCCATGATGGGTCGGGCTACCCCAAACTCGGCATTTTTTCATCTGATTTTCATATTCTTACATGGAACTTTTATCTTTTCCACCGAACTTTTCACATTTTAATCTCCTGATATCCTTCTTAATCTCAAATCCGTTTTTTTTCAAAAATTTTGAGAATTTTGGATTTCCTTTGGATGTCCTTAAGAAAATTTTGGAAAATTTTGAAGGCCATGAAGCCAGATTTCTTCCATTTTTCACCGCCGGAGGCGAAAATTTTAGAATTTGGAAGCCATTAAGTAAACTTTATTATTTTTTCAGCGCCGCAGGCGAAAATTTTGAAAATTCCGGAAGGCCGTAAGCGAAAAAAACTCACTTTTTAGAGGTACAATGAAAATTTTAAAGAAACTTTTAAAGGGCCAAAAAGGAGAAAAATAGCCAAAAAGGCCAAAAAGAGAGCCAAAAACCCATAATTTTTCCAAGTAAAACTAAAATACTTTTTAAAACAAAATTAAACTTATAAAATGAGTTATTTATGAAGAGAAAAATATTAAAATTCATTGTTCATTGAATAGGAATCGAACCCAATATTAAATCATTAAAGACTATGGTGCAGCCAAGCACCTTCACCACTCGGCCACTCGCTCATATAATGGCAAATGAAAGGAATTAAATATACAGGGTGTTTCAACTAAGAAGCACTATTTGAAAAATCTATAACTTTTTACTAAGTTGACAGATTTTAATGATTTTTGGTATTTTATATCCATAATTTATAAGGTTTTTTTTGACGTAAAAATTATGCCTAAATTCGAAGCCTAACCCGGTATTTCAATTTCGTTTCAATTTCGTACTCTACCGTTCTCTTTTTTCCCTCTTTTCATTGTGTGCTATCTTACTTCATTTATTTTCCTGCGTATGGCGAAGAGTGGATACTGTATTGAAAATGAAGTGTCTATCGCCTAGTGTTTACTCTAGTGTCTATCGCCGCTCAAAAAAAACAAAAGGGAGTAAGAATGCATGTGCGGAAAAAGGGAAAAACAGAACGGTAGAGTATAAAAATATCTCGGGTTAGGGTTCGAATTTCGACATAATTTTTATATCAAAAAAAACCTTATGAATTATAGATATAAAATACCAAAAATTATTAAAATCTGTCAACTTAGTAAAAAGTTATAGATTTTTCAAATAGTGCTTCTTAGTTGAAACACCCTGTATTTCTTTAATTTTCCTATAAACACCAAGTACGAGAAGTACGAGCTCGTACTTAGGCCTCGTACTTCGTACTTTTCACTTTTTTTGGCCTCGTACTCGTACTTCGTACCTGCCCAATTTTTTTGCTCGTACTCGTACTCGTACTTCGTACCAGGTACGAGTACGAGGTACGAGTACGAATTTTGGTACGAGCTTCGAAGCACTGATCTTGACCTGCACTCCTCAACAACCCCCGATCCTGAACAAAAAATATTTTAAAAAAATATTTCTGTGTGGTCAGGACTTGTATTTGCGTGGTTTATTAAAAAATAAAAAAAAATTGTTTAATTATTTGTTCGCTAGACCATTTATTTATAATTAATGATCAGCAAAAAAATAATACATATTTATGTTTGAATAAATTATTTTTTAATTAATTTTAAAAAATATTAAAAAAAAATATTTCTGTGTGGTCAGGACCAGTGCTTCGAAGCTCGTACCAAAATTCGTACTCGTACCTCGTACTCGTACCTGGTACGAAGTACGAGTACGAGCAAAAAAATTGGGCAGGTACGAAGTACGAGTACGAGTACGTGGCCAAAAAAAAAGTGAAAAGTACGAGTACGAGGCCTAAGTACGAGCTCGTACTTCTCGTACTTGGTGTTAATAGGAAAATTGAAAAAATATGTTTAATTTTATTCAATAGTTCTTATATGAGCGAGTAGCCGAGTGGTGAAGGTGTTTGGCTGCACCAAAGTCTATAATGATTTAATATTGGGTTCGTTTCCTATTCACTGGACAAGGATTTTTAATCTTTTTCTCTTCCTAAATAACTTATTTATAATTTTAATTTTTTTTTTAATTATTGTATTTTTACTTGGATTAATTATGAGATTTGACCATTTAAAATTCTTAAAAAAATTTTTCTTTGAACACTAAAAGTGAATTTTTTCACTACGGCCTTCGGAAATTTTCAAAATTTTCGCCTGCGGCGCTGAAAAAATAAGAAAGGTGGTTATTGGCTTCCAAATTCTAAAATTTTCGCCTTCGGTGGTGAAAAATGAAAGAAATCTGGCTTCATGGCCTTCAAAATTTTTCAAAATTTTCGCCTGCGGCGCAAAAATAGAAGAAATCTGACTTAAGGACATCCAAAATTCTCAAAATTTTTGAAAAAAAGGATTTGAGATTAAGAGGGATATAAGGAGATTAAAATGTGAAAAGTTCAGTGGAAAAGGATGAAAAAAAAACCGGATGAAAAAATGTAGGATCTCGGGTAGTAAATATTTTTCCTTGCACTCTAAAATGCTAAAAAATTTCGCCTGCGGCGCAGCAAATAGATGAAATTGAAGGATTTATAACTTCAAGGCCTTTCAAGATTCAAAAATTATCACATACAACGCTTAAAATTTAAAACTAGATGCCCTGGGCTCAAAAAAATCATTAAAATTTTCGATTTTTTGCTTTTAGCTTAAGTACGAGTAAGTACGAGGTACGAGTACGAGGTACGAGGCCAAAAATAAGGGTGGTACGAGGTACGAGTACGAGTACTAGCAAAAAAATGGGGGTGGTACGAGGTACGAGTACGAGGCCAAAAAAGTAGGTGGTACGAAGTACGAGTACGAGCAAATTTGAAATTTCGAAGCACTGGACCGGACCTATACGATATATCGAAAAAATTTCGATATATCGATGTCGATATTATCGATAAACGATATCGATATTATCGATCGATAAATTTTTCGATACTCGATATTTTTCGAGACTGATACCGTATTATTGATCGATCACTCAAGTTCGATCTCTAAATAGTACCATGTTCTAGATGTAATGGAGACGGCGTAGCTGCCGAAATAGTTCGCATCTGAGTCTGAGGCGGCGACGAAGGTGAAAACGGTGCAGAAAGTTGAGTATGTTCTGATAAAAATTAAAATTTTAGAAATTTTTTAAAAATTCCTTAGAAATAATCTCAAAATACCTTGTAATAGACCAGATGTTTTTGACGAAAACAAAGAAGTTTGTCGGTTCATATAATTTTTTTCGGTTTCAGGAATTTTATTTTCATCTGAAAAAAATATTTTTCAAGTTATTTGATTAGAAAACAGTTTCGCGATTTAGAAAATTAAGAATAATATACACAAATTTTGTCATTTTAGCGAAACTGACAAAACCGGTGATATCCAAGTGCCAAAAAATTTTCGCCTTTGGCGCCTAAATCTCCTTTCTATATTCTCAAAATTTTCGCTTCAGGGCGCATAAAATTGATGAAATTGGATATGAAGGATATATAGGGATTTCTGTGGATTAGAAGGGATATCGAGTGATAATCTGTCGGTTTCTACTCTTGGCTTTTTTCACTCCCGAACATCACTTCTAACTTCATTTATTAAAGTAATACTCTTCAAAAAATTAACTTTATAACCTTGTACCGACGAAACCGTTGTAATCGGATCCGACGAAATCGAAGTTCCAGGTGCATCTGGTGAGTTCGGAGTCATCGTCTCCAATGTATGCTGTCCCATAGGAGAAGGTGGCATAGGTAACAATAAAATTTGGTTTTGTTCTGTAAAAAATAAGTTATAGGTTTTAGAAGTTATTTCTAGCTCATTAGAAATAATCTATGAGTCTAATGAAAAGTTTATCAGTCCAATCAATGTATATCAGGGGTGTGCCGAAAGTGATTTTAAAAAGCGAAAGACGAAAGGCGAAACTCGCACATCCCTGATGTATATGTCATTTTTTCACATATATTTTCAATAGATGTTTAATTATATGTCTATTGTGACTTATAGATGCTTTTTGTTTCTGGACCGATTCGTCTAATGCTCCTTATATATCACTAGAGACGCTTGCAGGTTTTTGCTGCTGCTTCCCCAAATCAGCTTGATTGAACATATTTGGAAAAGTTATGATACAAAATATACAAAGTAACCCCGCACTTCACGCGGGTTTTGCTGCACGCATCTCTCGAAAACAACAGTCGCTAGATTCTGCACCAGTAACATAAACCTATTCCTTTAACGATTTTCTCCTTTAAGTGCTGACATACCCTCAGAAGTGTGATTTGTCTCATAAAATTCGTAGGACTCAAGAAGTTGTTTGGTTTGGACTCATAAAGTTCGATGGGACTCATAAACTGGAGCAGAGTTATAAAATTTGTTTTTACCCCGACTTTCTATTTCAACGAATTGACCTTTAGCAGCAAGTCGTTGATGTTCCTCATTTATTTTCTTACTACGTTTTCCTATTTCAACGAGTTGAGCTTCAGCAACAAGTCGTTGTCGTTCCTCCTCTTTTTGAATTCGACGCTCTTTTTCTCGACGGAGACGTTGTTTAGCCACTTCTTTTTTACCACCCCGTTCCTCAATTCTCTCGCGTTTTTGTCGATGATTGCCGCCGATTAGACCAAATCCAATTGGTGAAGAAAGTTCATGTTCTTTGAACAAAGATACTAGAAAATATTTAAAAAATTTAAATTATTTTTAGTAAAAATACGTGGAAGATCCAGAGGAAAAAATTTATCGGAATCGACCACATCTATTAATTCAAATTTAGATTCAGTCCAAATTATATCCTTCTTTCGCTTTTTTACAGCAGAAGAAAGAGTTGGATCAAATATATTTTCTTCGTATTTAATATTAACAATTTTGCCATCAATTTCTTTAGGAAATCCTCTTTCTTTTTTCGTTTTGCCAGTATCAGTGATTTTTATTAACTGTGCATAGTCAAAAATTAACTCCTGATACGGATTGTGAACCTAAAGTTAATAGAAAACTATGAGATAAAGAAAAAATAAGAGAAAATAAAGAAAAGAACATCTAATACAACAAAGAATGGTACTTGCGTGTTATCCCTACAAACTTATTGCGGACTTTTTTTGCGGACACAATTGTACGGAATGGTAAGTTATCTCCCTTGTAAAAATTGCTGCTAAAATAATTTGCAGATATTATAAGAATATATTTCTACAAGGAATCGAGCTGAGTCGAATGACAACACGAAAATCAGCTCGAGATCTTGATTATAAGCCTAGATAAACAGGTTAAAAATGGTCAACGTAAACCTTTGGAGTGTCGGCGAGGCGCTTGTGTCAAATCATGTCAGATTTCGTTGATTTTGGTATTCGACTCAGCTCAACGAGCTCTTTCGAATGAGCTATTATTTGCATATTCGAATTTTTATATACTCCCCCCTATGTTTTTTGACAATTTCGAGCCCTGTGTCTCGGCCTATAGTTCCGACCCAATCGAAATTTTGATGTCATTCGACTCAGCTCGATAAGCTTTCGAATGAGCTATTATTTGATTAAACGAATTATTAGCCCAAAAATTAGCTTGGCCACCCATAGTAGTTGTTCACTTTTTGAGAGTCTATATCTCGAGCCGAAGTTAAGACAGCGGGTTGATTTTGATGTCATTCGACACAGCTCAACGAGTTCTACAAACTATGACTGACTGACCATTTTTTAATACTTAAAGAAAAAAAAGTAGGGTATACGAACCAAACTATTACCCCTAATTCTAAAATTACCCTTTCTTTTGAGTCGAAAACCAATTTTGTCTCCGCCATACTAAGAAATCGCAATATCGGCAAATTACGTGAATTTGGCAATGCCGATGATAAAAGAATCAAAGTTATAGCCGTTGAGCAATAAGCAAAAAAGCAATTCATATGACGTCGGTAAAACACAAAAATCATCCCTTAAATTGTTAAAATACAATAAAAACTGAAATTATATTTCAGAATATCTACCAATTAAATCATCGATAAAACATAAATCTTCGGTATTATAAGTCGACAATTCCGCTGTTGCAAAAATCGGCGAATCCGCAAGTGTTGAAGGAAGGATCGTGATAAACCCTTTATGCTTAATACACTCATTATTCAATTTTTTCTTAATCGGTGTAATAACGTAGAGCATCTTTCCCTTAAAACAAAAGGCGTATGACCTGAAAAAGAAAAATAGAAACAATTAAAGCGTTTAATGAATTAACGGCTGTAGTATACCGGAGGCTCGATGATAGGAATAGGATTAAGTTACGAGCCCAGAACCCAGCGACCGTAGACTCCCCGCGAGGCGCGTGCCGCAAAACTCCGCGCGAAGCGCAAATTTGCACAAGCGCCTCGCCGACCCCCATAGGTTTACGTTGACATTTTGAGCTTCTTTATCTCACCTCGGAATCAAGATTTCAATCTGATTTTGGTAATGGTGCAGAATTGGGGAGACACCTTAAAAACACCTTAAAAATTTTCATTTTTTCTGCAAACAATTTTATATAGGTAATCGACCATGCTGATCAAGAAACCGAGCTTAGAATTTGTTTATTTCGAACCCGGACCCGAATTCGACCAAGTCGAATTCGGGGTAAGAATTCGAAATTAAAAATTTAGGGCTAATCTGACACGCCTATTTGAGCTGAGTCGAATGGTATCAAAATTATTCAGTTTCGACAACTTTGGACGAAGTTATGATCAGTTAAATAACGCTTGGTTAGACTTCCGTATATAAATCAGACACCATAACTTCGTTTAAAATGGTCGAAACCTAATAATTTTGCTACCATTCGACTCAGAATAATGAGACGAGTCAGGATAACTGTAATATCGTAATTTTGAATTTTTTACCCCGAATTCGACTTGGTCGAATTCGGGTCCGGGGTTCGAAATAAACAAATTCTAAGCTCGGATTCGTGATCAGCATGGTCGATTACCTATATAAAATTGTTTGCAGAAAAAAGCAGCATCTAAAACATTTGTATTAAGTTGGGGTAACAAAATCTGAGGTGAGTCGGAAGTCAGAGGTGTCGGAAATCGGAAGAGCCGGAAATCGGAACTGGCTCAAACGTCGGAACTCGGAAATCGGAGGGCCATTCGAATGGAGGTGGCCATTCTATTTTTCATTCATTCAAAAAAGTGTTATTCTATATATTTTTTTAACAAAAAATAATAGAAAACAAACCCTTCATTGTAACTTGTAATTCGGAGATATTAAGAAAGAACTCTGAATTCGGCAAGGCCGATGAATGCAGTGTTGCCGCAGCTTGTTGTTGAGGCGAAGCTGCCGAATTTTGTTGCGAAGAGTCATCAGACTTTAAATTTATCATTAAAAAATAAATGTATTTTTCAAAATAATACCTCTGAACCGTCACTATCAGATTCAATATAAGCATGTATTTCCATTATAGTAATTTTAGATAATTTTTTTAGTATAAAAACTGCTTTAAATCTAAAAATTAATTGGAAAAATATTAACATCAGAGACAAAATACATTTCCGGTGTCTGAGTATTTTTCTACCCAGTTTAGAAAGTCCACTCTGAACTAGTGTTCGGCAAATGGATTTTTTCGGTTCCGGTACCGGGAGTACCGAAAAGTCCCGGTACCGAAAAGTACCAAAATTTCCCAAAATCTGTTCGGGACGGTTCCGGTTCCGGGAGTACCGAAAATTCCCGACTCGGTATTTTCGGGAGTACCGCGGGAGTACCGAACCGTGCCGAACACTACTCTGAACATGTTTTTTTAGGGTGGGGGCTAACTCAAGGAATGACCAACTCAAGGAATATTTTAAAAATCAGAATATTCTGAGAAATCAGAATTTTTCCGAATTCTTTTTTAAATTCTGTTTTCAAAGTGTTCTAATTTGTTTTTAAATTTTTATTTTCTAAAAATATTCAGATTTTTCAAAAAATTTCGATTTTTAAAATATTACTTGAGTTGTCGTTCCTTGATTTGTCGTTCCTTGGCTTGTCTGTTCCTTGAGTTAGCCCGACACGGTTTTTTATGCATTTCACAGTCATAGGAATTCAGGAAAAAATATGGATTTTCATATAAATGTACACCCTAGTAATAATATGTATTGCCCCTATTAGGTAACTTGAAGTTTATGACTGATAATAAACAGCACGAATATGTAGGTCAACATTTTTAAAAAAATAGTTAACCTATGTATTTTTCCTTTATTTATTCAGAAAAGTTCATTTTTTATTGCTTCTTTCACATTTTCCTTATTTAATGTTGACCTTACAAATAATATTTTTTCAGAGAGGTAACTTACTGAGAATAATTTGCATTATTTTAAATTAAATTCACATCTGTACAAGCATCATTTTAAAATTTTTATAATTTATTAAATTAAAGTTCAAGCATTCATTACTATTGGTTGTATGTATCATTTTTGTTACTCGGGCATTTTTTCTTTGACATTTAGGCGTTTGGCATTTCCGACTTCCTATTTCTGAAAATTCAGGCCGATTTCCGACAGTTCCGAGTTCCGGTACCTTATCATATTCGACCGACCTCTAGTGTAGAGATGCTTAAGCAATTTTGATTAGGAATCCATAAGATACCGTATATTTAAGCCCGTAATTGTAACTTAAAGTAGTAAGATTTGACTGTATTCATATTTTTTTCACTTTAGAATTATTTACAAAGTAATTTTATTAATTTATGAATAGATTAATAAAAATGGATATACTAATTAAAAATATAAAACTAAAATTTTTTGAAGGCTTTTGGAAGATATGGTATTCCCTGTTTTATGAAGGCTGAAACGAACTTTCAGGATTTTAAACCAGACCGGAATTAACAATTAAAATTTATTTATTATTTATTTTAGATAAATTTTTTGTTACATGTCTGAGCTTACACGTCCTTCGACTTTAGATTATAAATATTACGAGGATTGGAAAAGGGTATATGATGCTTATTTTCTTTCTGCTTATCCAAATTCGAATATAAATTCATCATATCATTCAAATTCTTCCAACATAAGCAATATTAATCATAGTTACGATGGATCGAATACATCAAATGGTAAATTTTAAATTATTAATTTTCTCAATATTAATCAAACGGGTTTGCCATTTATTTCATATGTACATATTTTAAATTTCAATTTTTTTATTTTGAGTTTCAAGTTCTCAATAAAAGTTTATCGGCTTTATGTACCACCGTTTTAAAATCAGTTTTCGGCTCACCACGAAAAAGTATCGTATCCAATATTTCTTTTAACACTAGGGTTGGGGGCCCGGTTAATCACTAAGGATCGAATCGGGCATCGAATTCTGACACGAAATATGGACGGCCCGATTCCATAAAAATGAGACCCAAAATAAAGACTCGAACGTTTGTCTGATTCGAAACCCCCAACCCTTATTAGCGCAGTAAAGAATACTAATTTTGTTCCCCATACTGACCATCTCTTATACCTCTAATGATAATTTAAACTCGAATACTGAATCATCTATTAAAGATAAAAATATTGAGATTTTCGGGTACTTTTCCGTTTTGTTACACCCCCTATACATATTAATGCTCAAAATGTCATATATAGGGTAATAAAAGGTGCTGAGTTGAATGGTACCCTTCTTTTTTCCAGGAGTTGTCTGTGGACCCAGATATAGGGCTCGAAATGGTCAAAATTCATGGGGTCATATTGGGGTAAAAAATTATAACAGAATATGCAAAGTTAATAATGTAGACACTCATTCTAACCTAAATACATCGACAGAACGATCTAATGAAGTGAAGAATATTTCTTCAAATTTTTATCGAACAGAATATTCGGATAATTTTAATAAAGAGACAACAAATTCTTTTAATAATGAAGGTCCTTCCACAATAGAAACAACAAGTTCTAATAAAATAAATAACAATGAAACAATTTTTGATTCAAACTCGTCTAATGGGATAAATCCTCAAGAGATTGAAAATCCCAAATCCAAATTACGTTCTTATAAACAAAATAATCCTGAGAAAGATTTTATTCCAAAATCAGGTGTTCCTGAAAAGGGTATGTGAAATTAATATAATAAATGAATCTCACAATAAGATACTGTCTTAGAGCTATAAAATTTTATGCAAGGATGAGGAATGTCTTATACCGTATTTACTCGATTAATTCCCCACCCTCTATTAATTCCCCATGCCAGGGATGAGTTGAAAAAATAATTCCATCCTGAATACCCTACTACACGTTCAAATTTCAAAACTCGAATAATTCCCCATCCTCTATTAATTCCCCATGCTACGGATGGGTTGAAAAAGTAATTCCCCGGGGGAATTAATCGAGTAAATACGGTATCTCCCTAATATGACATACCCACGTCATAAAATTTTATTATTAGGCTGCTCTGTCTTGTTATAACTTAATGAAAAGTATCTTAATTTGAAGCTTTAGGAACTTATGATTCTGCAATATTCATTTAATTATTATAAATTAAAGGTGATTTAAAATATCCTGATGAGGATTACATAGTTACAAAAACAAAGCGTTCTTCAAATAAGCAAAATATGGAAAGTAAAATTGTTGATAAACAAAATATTCCTTGCTTAAGAGGTTTTTGGACATAAAAAATAAATTTAGTTTTAACTGATTAGGACTGAAAAATCATGGAAATACTTGTTATTTTAATGCTTTAATGCAAAGCCTTGCAGGGTGTGATAAATTTGCCGAATTTCTACTTTGTTATGATTTTGAGGAATATAAAAAAGTGAAATTAAAAATTTATCAAATTATATTTTAAATTTTAAGAATGTTATTTTAAATTCCTTTATACATACAATTCGTTGTATGTGGTTTAATAACACTTCTGTTGACAATTGTTGTTATAGAACTATTAGTTCTATTGCTAAAGAGAATTCAACATTTTGTCTTGGATATCAACATGTAAATTAAATAATTTATTTTTGGCTCCTTTTTAGAATGTGTTCACGGCAGTTTTAGGACTTGTTCACGGCACGCTGTTCACGGCATTTTCAGTTTATTTAAGACACGTTTTTATATAACGATTGATACTTGCAATTTATCCTACTAGGCGATGCCTTTTTTAACTAAGCCTATACATATTATGAGATCGTGCTATGAGATATTATGAGATTGTGTATCTAAAAATAGTCTTAGGCACGGTTCGGTACTACCGTCAGTACCGGACCGGTACCGGAAAAATCCATTTGCCTAGCACTATTAAAAATGAGTTTCAACGTTGAGTCTTTCTATAAATTTTTACTAAGATTAACAGATTGTGTAATATCAGGGCTTCAAATAGAAAGAAAGTACAAAACCCAGAGTAAATTTACCGCAAACAACTTTGACGGATATCTTACTAAAGACAATTTTTCTATAAATTATTTTTAAATTTCTAAATAGGATTCTCATGAATGTATGATTTGGTTATTAAATAAACTCAATCGAGAAATTTTGGATTCAAATTTGGAGAAATATTATGATAAGAAATGGAGCATGGACTCGAATATTGAACGGATTGGATGTAGCAATTCTAATAAAGAAGATAAAAAATCAACTGTCTTAGAGTTATTTCAGTAAGATTAAAAATATTTTAAATTTATTTTTGACTTGCTCTGCGCGATCAAAATTGAAAAATTAACATTAATATATTCATTTAACGCTGGATTACGCATAATTATTCTTCTAGTAGTGTTACTCAATTTTTAAAAATATTTACTGCCTAAATTACTACACCAAATATCACTCACTTCCCAAATCATTCACTACATAGGGCCCATTGGATTCGGTAATTGTAGAGCTTGTTTTTGAACATTGATACGCGCTAAATAAAATCTTCCCGGGTCTAAAATTGTTGTGGCCGCATTTGTAGAAAGAAAATAAGTGATAAAAATAATTGACATACCGATGCACATCGGTTGTGCTTCAGTCTTGCATATTCTATGATTGTTTATCTCTTTATGGAATAAATATATTTTGTAATAATTTTTTAATTTTCAGAGGTCAATTCCGAAATGAAATAAAATGTACTACTCCAAATTGCGGTTTTGTTGATATTTCATACGAACCTTTTCTTTCTGTTTCGCTCAGTGTTCCTTTGTAATTTTTTTAATTTTGTAAATAATTAAAGTTATATTTTTTAGACCACGTAAATACACTGTAAAATTCATTACTCAACATCCGATGCGTAAAATTACCCGTTTTAGCTTTAACAGTTCGTATCCATTTTTAACCGTTAAAGATATTATGGAACAAATAGAGCAAGTTGTGAAAATCTCCCCAATTAATGTTTGTTTATATTTAATTTTTAAAAATAATTTAAAAATTATATCCATCGGTCGGAGAAAATATAATTTAGTTAATTATACTTTAAGGATAGATTGGAATGATTGTAAGGATTAGTGTTATTCAAACGCGTTTTTTCGGTATCGGTATCG